TTGGGTTACCTTCAGATTTGTGTTCACCGTTATTGAAACCCCCTAATTAACGATATTGAAGCCAATTAAATAGATTTAAAAGATAATTGTCCGACATTTTGAATTTTTTAAAACTGATTCCAGATTCGTAATCAGCGACCCCAAAAACCCCTGAGTAACTATTTTCAAGTAAATTGGATGGATGTTTAAATCTGTCGTCCGCCATTTTGAATTTTTAAAAACGGACCTTAAATTCGTAATCAGCGACCCCGAAAACCCCCGAATAACCATTTTCAAGTAAATTGGACTGATTTTTGAAATTGTCGTCCGCCATATTGGATCTGTCATTTTGAATTTTGAAAAACTAACACCGGATTCGTGTTTAGCGACCCCAAAAACCCTCGAGTAACAAGATTTAAACGGATTCGATCATTGTATCGGTGACAAAATATTAAACAATTATTTTTTAAACAATAATGTTCATAAAGATCGTAACAACGTATTTTAGAGACTTATTTAGGTCCTTCTCTTCACATAGCAATAGTCATAACAGTGGTTTTGAACTTTTTTTTTTTTTTTTTTCTTAATTCAGCATTTGTCCTTTTCGAGAGATTCACCCATGTAAATATTGTTAAATACTACTGTTTATTATTTTATTAACAACTATATCATAAAAAAAAAAAAAAAAAAAAAAAAAACCTAATAAATAAAATATCACTAATTATTGTAATGAACATCATCGATTAACACTTGTAAATATCAATAGTTCATAAGTTAGCTTAGATTAATTAATTTTCTTTTCTACTTCTCTCTCCTTATTCCTTGTTATTGTTAAATTTAGTTTTTTTTTTTTTTTTATAATAATTTATTCAGGTTATTCTAATGTATCGTTTTCATAAAATAAATAAAAGTACTAATGATCAGTTTTCAAGCCTTTTCTGATCGATATAAAATCTTAAAATGATATAATTTCTTCTTGAAATTAACAATATAATGAATAAAAGAAAAATAACTAACTCATATATGCATTCGTGGGCATAAAATAATGTACGCGACTTCGAGTGCAATGTATTAGCCAGTAAGTCCTAGAATAATATGTAATAGAATTTATTGTTTATTATAAATACTGTATTTATATTGATTTTGGCTATTAATAAACGTATACAAAATCGCAAATCACTGGTTCTCGTCCGATCACCAAAGTTAAGCACAATTGAGCGCGGTTAGTACTTGGATGGGTGACCGCTTGGGAATACCGCGTAGTGTTGGCTTTCTTTTTTTTTAGTTCGCCAAATTTTTATTAATTTTCAAAATCATAAAATGTTAAAATTATTAAAAGTTCGAAAGTTTATTTAATCAAAATAACATAAAAAGTAAATTCATCTATCACTGTAAAACGAAAAATATTAATTTATTACCTTGTTTAATACCAACTTTAGGTATACTAAATTGTCATTTGGTTCTATTTTTATACCTAAAATTGGTACTATTTTAGTTCTTATTTTTTTCTTGTTCTCTTCTACTTATTGTTTCATAAGTAAATAGTTTCAAATTTTTCACTTTTGAAAATTCAATGAAATAAACATTTGAATTTTTAATAATTCTAACATTTGAAAATTTGGTAAAGAAAAACATTCGAACATTTATAAAAATTCGATCAAATGGTTATTTTATTTAAGGCGTCAATTTTGTTAATACTAATACACTGAGAAAAATATGCTATTGAATCAACAGCATTTCTGCCAAAGACATAAAAATTATGGATTCAAAATCATATGCTATAGAACTCGCTATAGAATCTATATAATATTTTACAAATTCTGTAGCATATGTTTCAGAATCAATAATTTTTATGCCTTTAGTAGAAATGCTGTTGATTCAATAGCATATTTTTCTCAGTGTAACAATTTGTTTCTTTTAAAAAAAAATTTTTAAAAAAATAATTCAGCAAATGTTTTTCAAACATTTCTATATTTAAAAGTGTTCACTTTCATGTCAAAATTTTAATTATTAAAAAATATTCATAATTGAAAGAATTGCACATACACTGTAAAAAAAAGGAGTTGAATGTCAACTTCTCAGGGGATGCTATAAAAGTCCCACCCATTGGGGAGATAAAGAAAAGAGAGTTCAACTTTAACTTTTTACACGAGTTGGAAAATATGATCCTCCATTATAAATTAACTCAAAAGGGAGTTGATACTGAACTCCCTCCTTAACTCCCTAACTCTTAGTTAACTCCCTTTTTGAGTTGATTTTTAAATCGAAAAATCGAACTCCCAACTTCTAGTGACGTTAACTCTCTAAATTTTTTACAGTGTACACTGTAAAAAAATTAGGGAGTTAACGTTACTGGGAGTTAAAATTTTCGTGTTAAAAATCAACTCAAAAAGGGAGTTAATAATTAAATTATCTCCTTAAAACCAACTCCCTAAGCATAAAAATAAAACTCGTAAAGCATTACCTCCCTTCGCTTCAACTCCCAAAGGGTGGGACTTTTATAGCATCTCCTAGGATCATCATTTAGCAGAATATGTGCAATTCTTTCAATTAAAAATATTTTTTAACAATTAATTTTGAACAGAGAAAAACATACCCGCAAAGAACCTCGCACCGCATACATGAGAAATTAGAGTCCGATGAAGTTTCTTGAAACTTCGTAAATTTGTAGATTTTAACCCCTTAATTTATATTATTAAAATTTACCATTATTTTTGGGTTGATTAAACACATATTTAATAAATTGAAATTCTATTACAAAAGGTATAGTATATATGGAACGTGATTAATGTAACTAAGGGACCTTCGTCCTATATATTTCTTTTATTTTATAAAACACAAGTTGAGGGGTCCACTGATTATTCAAAAAATCTTAAAGTTGGCAACGAGAGACCCCGCCGGCGTCGTCTAGATCGTCCAACTTGGCGGTGGCGAGCATCGAGCGTGCTTCCTGCGTTGACCGGAAGTCGCGAGTCAGAGGCTCGGCTCTACGTAGCGTTACGCTTCCTTACGCGTATATCTACCGTCTCGGTGGCAGTTTGAGTCTAAGTTGCATCGTGAAAACGTAAAGTATATATGGGGGGGGCCTTTAAAAGCACAAACCGCAACAGTTTCAAGGACACAATTCTTGACAGTCCATCACACGTGTCCCAAGGATCAAAGACCCTCTCAACAAATCAAAAAACAAAAAAAAAAAAAAAAGAAATCAAATTAAAGACAAACTTTTCATTTATTTTATATATAGTGTGTACTCTGATAAAAATGACTGCGTCCTTCGTTTCCTTGAAAATTTTATGGTTTTGTGATCAACACCTTGACGGAAAACATTATTCTTTGTGTTACACCTGACAATTCACTTATTTATTTATTCTCACCTGCGGGAATTTCAAAATTACTTTCTCCAAAAAGAACTATATGGTTGACAAAATATATCATTATATATAGAAGAAACATTATAATATATAACAGAAGAGCAACTTCGGAAATGGAAATTGTACTTCAAGTTTCATCTTCCTGTTGTATTTCCTGTTCTTGGTTTTCTTCAACAATATATGCATTTCACGCTTAAAACCTAAATTTACAAAACTATATCTCAAGAATACAACCTGCTGCTTTCATTCATAAAAATTATTCCACTTCTTCTGAAATACTCCACAGGTTCTCTATTTTAAATCACATTGAAAACGATTTAAAAAAAAAACTCTTAACCATTATAGAATTTAAAATGCAGAAAATAACTTTTAATACTCTTCTTGTGAGGCGATTTTGAGGATGAAAACTCTCGACCGGAAATATATTCTTTTCATGTGCAGGGGGGGGGGGTATTTTAAATGTTCTTTTGAGAAAGAATCATTTGAATGGTTTAAATTCTAAAGCATTATAGATAAATGAATGTCAAATCGAGTAAAATAGACCAAAGACAATATGCTTCCTCCATGAGAAAGCAATATTTACAACGAATAAGTTTTTTCTACTTTTGTAAGAATATTAATAGAACTAATTTAATGATAATTAAATATTCGTAACGTAATTATTAACGCCTAAATGCACTGAATTTTTTATGTAACTTCAAACTCTTGATATTTTATTAAAAAAAAATATATATAACCATTTATTTTTTTCATGCTTTTTTACTATCGGATGCACGCAATTTATGTAATGGACGTTCGTCAAAAAAAAAAAAAATTTCCCCTCAAAATTCATAGATTTCTAATAAAAATGAATAATAAACGATTTTTTAAAACTTTTTTCGATAACTTATTCCAAACGAAAATACTGCTATAAGAAAATTATAGATAAAATGAGATTCTGCTTCTGACACATACGCCGCGATTTAATTTTGATAAATTTAGAACTTATATAAATTAAATTATTCTTTATACATGGCATTTACAGTCCTTTATGTTTGTTAATAATTATTATCATTTAACCTTGAATTTGAAAATGATATAAGTTTAATATACAAATGCAAAAACTGGAGATTCTGCTTTTGACATGTGAAAACAGGTCACATTTCCATTTCTGCAGAAATGGAAAACATAATTGACAATTTCATATAATTTCAATCGATTTTATACAATTCGTTTGAGTCTTATTTCGACTTTCATCGCAGATAGATGTGTTTATAAGTTACTCTCAAATAAGACAAGAAGACGTTTTAAAAAAATTATTAATTATCCCTCGAAATAAGTTTCAATATCAAGTGTTTTGTGATTATCAAATTTACCTTATATTTGTGTTATTTATCATTAAAAAGGCATGACAAACGAAGAAATCTAAAAAAAAAAAAATGACAGAAACAACATTTTCCGAAATTCTTGATAATATCAAATCTATGACAAAAATCATCGAAAATATCATGGTGCAAGTCGAAAGAATCAACAGTTTACTTTTAACAATTAACGGGCGAGACAATAATAAAAAATTTCACAATAAATCACAAAAAGCTTATAATTTAATTTTGTATAATGTCCACGATATTGAAGAACAAGAGAATAATACAATGACAAAAGTCTTAGAAATTGTCAACATGGTTGAAATGTCAATACCTCAAGTTTGTTTAGTCTCTGCCAACAGAATTGGCAAATTTAAACAAGGAAATCACAGACCCATTCGTATCAAACTTATCGCATTTAGATGGAAAAGAACATTCTTTGAAAAAGCAAAAACATTTAAAAAATTTGGCTTTAAAATTACAAACGATATGTCGAAAAAGGAAAAAGAATTGCTTAAGTCTCTATTTGTAGCGAAAAAATTATTAAAAAATCAAGGAAATCATAATGCTTACATCAAAGGAACAAATCTTTACTTGAACAATAAATTAGTCACCAATTTCGAGTTAAATGGGATTCTAAACTCTAATCCATATCATGTTCAAAGTAAGAAAAAAACGAATTTATTAATCTTATTATTCATTTATCGGCATATCTTTGGAACATTTAATTTTCATGTTCCTTTAATATATTTTCATTATTTTGTCAAATTATTTTTTGTAGTTCGAACACGGAATTGTGCCAGTTAAGGGTTAAATTAGTTGAAGCATTTATTGATTAAAATTGTAATTAATCTTAATTTAAATTCCATTCTACTTCTAACTAACCATCAATTCAATCAATCCAAAATTCAATTCATCAAAAATTAAAGCTCCCGAGTAGAAATCCCCAAGGTATGCCTAAAATGATAATTGGCCCTAAGCTGGTCCTAACTTGGCAGAAAATGTTAATATTTCCTAATTTGGTCCTAACTTGGTCCTGCTTTTACAAGCCATTTTAGTAATATCGGAGTATTTTGGCATTATTAATTATAATTAATAATAATATTATAATAATAATATAATAATAATAATAAAATAATAATAAAATAATAATAAAATAATAAAAAAAATATATAAATACAATAATAAAAATAATAAAAAAATAAAAATATACCATAGTTTTTTAAAAATTTTAATTAATTATTAATTAAATTTATATTAAACAAAATGAGAAGGGTTACATTTAATTTGAATTTTTTTGCCCCTACTTTTTCAATCCTAGCAGACGAAACGGACGTTTATTTGAAAAAGTCAGTTGCTTTGATTTGTTTTGTATCATTCGAAACAAATTTCCTTTTAAACAAAAAGTTTTTCTAAAATTTACATAAAGTTTCTTTGATTGAAATAAGTTGAAAAATTTAAAAGAATAAAAATTTCAATCAAAGAAGTTTCAATACTAATATAAAATCAAAAAAAATTTCTTTGATTAAAAAAATTAAAATTTTTCTGAAACAAAGATAATTTTTTTCAAAGAAACTTTCTATAATTTAAAAAAAAAAAGACTTTATATCGAAGAGAACTATAGTGGAAGAAACTGATTTATTTAAATCATAGGGTGCAACCTTAACCTTTGTAAAAGTCCAGTTATATTTAAATGTTTATTTTTTTAAAAAATCTACGAATATTTGATTGTTAATACATTATTTATGTACATATATGGTAATATATATATTATATATGCGTAAAGAAACAAAGATTTTATAAGTAAGTTTTTGTATATATGTAGGTACTAAAAGTAAGCAAATATATTAATTTCAATATAATATACAAAATTATGTTATCAAAATTTATTAACAAATAATTAATCCTATTAAAATTATGTGAATTTTAAAAAAGCTGGTCCTATCTAGGACCTAAAAAGGACCCTTATATTGGTCCTAAATAGGCACCCAAATTAGGACCAGGCTAAAATCGCATCACCAACCATTTTAGGACCAAGTTAGACTGCCAAGTTAGGACCTAGATAATAAAACGGCAAACTAGATAGGACCAAGTTAGGACCATTTTTCAATTTCCACACGGGCTGTTCTTAAATTTTATTCGATTCAAACTTTAATCAATCTTAAATTAATTTTAATTTTTATTGGTGAATACAAATTTGTTAATTGAAATTTTAAACAAATAATGCAAATTCAATCGATCGAAACTTAATATTAACATTCAAAATAAAATTAATTGATTTAAGTTTCAAATTATATGAATTTTAAATTGTCCAAATTTTAACTGACTTAATTTTCAAATTATACGAATTTAAATTTATTCAAATTTTAAACAAAATTAGAATAAAATTGAATAAATTGAAATTAGTTATACTTTTCATGTTAATTGATTTCTACAATTTATAATAGAAACCTCTCTTAAAGTCTGTCCTGTAGACTGAAAAAAAATTATTTAATTCGAATAATCGATTACTCGACTATTATCAAATAAATATTTATTTATAATTATTATTTGAGTCAATTAAATGGTATTTGTTTCAAATACAACAATTATTGGTTGAAATACAATTTATATTTAATTCAAAAGAAAATTATTTACATTAAGTAGATAATTTGATAATAGTCAAGTAACCGAGAATTTGAATCAAATAATTTTTTCTTTCACTGTAATATTCATTATACATTTTACAGAACGGTAAGAAATTTTGTAAATGGCTGTATCACAAGTCCAGAAAGTTATATATAAAATTTACTGAATTAATTATACTTTATGCTTGTGAAAAGTTAAATGATCCAAAAATATGCCCTTCTAAATTATCTTTTAAATTAAACTATTAATAATAATATGTTTGTCTGATCAATCCAAAAATAGACAAAAAGAAAATTGCAGCTAGAATGGTTCACATAAAATCGCACAACTCCCTACAAGACGGTAAAGGACAATATTTGGCATGCAACTGTAGACTAAAACAAGAATAGAATCACAATAACGAGACTACGAAAATCACCCATATAACTGGAATCTAATATAAACGTCTTATATTTTTGAATTGTTTCGTGATTAAAAATTTTATAGACATATTATGAAATATAAATTATCTGCACTTCCCGTGTAGAAATTACCCTATCAGGGCCCTAGTAGGGAATGAAACTCCACATCTGATCGGGGCCAAATCAGAGCTACCAGAAAATGTGGATTTCCTAATCAGGGCCACATCAGGCGTGGCGTTTCATTCCCTAATAGGGCAGCCTGATTCGGCCCCGATCTGGGCCCTGGCAAAATTTCTGCACGGGATTTGTAGAACGCTATGAAATTACACAAAATATATGTCCAATATTAGAGTGGTATTAATAAGTTCTAAAAATCATTAATTAGAATTTTCATTTAAGAGAATTTCATCAGATATAATTTTCATAAAGCCAAATTTTTATTTCTTCAAATATTATTTTGCAGAATTTTCATTAAACCAATTTTCTATTTTACTGAATTTTTACTTAACCGAAAAGTCATTTAAGGGGACTTTCTGGTTTAGAATTGACAAAAAAGGAAGGTTTTAAAACTTTTATTGTAAGAACAGTATTAAAGAAATTGTAAAAACTATTTTTGGACATTGTAGCACATTGCGTAGAGAAAATTTAAAAAATATGTTTGAGTGTATTTAGTTCAATTTCATAGCAGTAGGTGGCGTCTTCCAAAAGATACCTTTTTTTTTGGTACGTTAGATTCCGGGCAAACTTTAATACATAAATTCAAGTTCCAAACGGGAATCTCTTCATAAGGATTTATTCTTGTGCCTAAACCTCAAAAAAAATTTTTTTTAAAGGTTTTTTTATTTTTTATGTACATTTTTCTCAAAAACTCGCAAAAACGCCGTGTTTTTGAGTCAATTTACCTCCATATAAAAACACAGGGGGTAGAAATATGAGTTTTTAGAGGTTTAGGCACCAGTTTTTTAAATAAAGAATCGAAAAATTTTTGGAATTTCAAAATCGGTTCGGTAGATTTCGAGAAAAGCTCTGTACCAGTTCAGTTTGAAAAATGAGTTTTCGAGAAAAACGCGTTCAAAGTTTTCATAACATAATTCATTGAGTCATGAATATCAAACAACTTTTTATTACAACAGAACTTCGTATCCCGCTGTTTTTGGGGTCGCTGATTACGAATTTGATGTCCGTTTTGGAAAATCCAAAATGGCGGATCCAATATGGCGGACGAAAAAATAAAAATTTAACCGGATTTGCTTAAAACTTGTTACTCGGGGGTTTTTGGGGTCGCTGATTACGAATTTGATGTCCGTTTTTAAAAATTCAAAATGGCGGATCCAATATGGCGGACGAAAAAATAAAAATTCAACCGGATTTGCTTAAAAATTAAAAAATTATTGAATTTATATTTAACAGGATTTTATAAAATAAACTGAGACACCATAAAATGTCTTAAAAATTAATACAAAAATGTATTATTTTCATTTTTTTTTTATTTCTGGGAACGCATATTATTGTAATTCTTATAGGTTTTTTGACGCTGAACACGAATCCGAACTCAGAATTTTAGGTTTTCGAGAAATTTCATCTTGAAAATAGAAAAAATGCCTTTTTTAGGGTACATTTTAATTTTTTATAACGGTACAAATAATTCAATTTTTTCAAATGAAAACATCAAACAAGGATATCTCATACAAAAATAAATATTTTTAAAAGTTCTAAATTGCAGATTGTTCAGAAAGATATGAGCTTTCAAATGCATATCACGAAAACTTCAAAAATATTTTTACCGTTATAAAAAAATTAAAAAATACCCTAAAAGGGTATTTTTTCAATTTCAATTTCTCGAAAATCTACATGGAGGAAAAAAGAATTGTTGTGGTTACTAAAAATTATGTCCATACGACAATTCCGGATTGTCAATATAGAACCAGCAGTTCTATTTGTTTTTGGGACAAAAAAAAATTGTTGTAATGGGATTGTTATTAAAACTATTCGGATTATTGTTCGGTGAACAAACAGAATTGTTTCATGAACAAAGAAAATTGTTATGGAACAGTTGAAATAACAAAACTAAATTGTTAAATCAGCAATACAATTTGTTTTATTAACAAAGCTTAATTTGATTTGTCTAATACAATTTGTTTAGTTCCTTCGTCTTCTAAAATAATCGATAGCATATTTCAGTAGGTCATATTACCATAGTTTTATTTGGATTAAAATCTGTGGAACATTTACAGGTTCTGAATCAAATTCTTTGACCTGAAACCAAAAAATTATTTTGAGTTGAAATTTAATGTTAAATAATATTTAATATACATTTTGTATTTTTTAAGGTGAGGTTATGTTCAATAGTAACCAAAATGAAAGAATAAAGCTGTCAGCTAAACAAATCCGGATTGTTCCATAAGCAATCGACAGAGAGTTTGCTTCTGCAACTGTACGGAATTACAAACTGAACAAAACTGACAACAAAAAATTCGTATTGTTGTTAAAACAACATACATTTGTATTGACAACAATGCGTATTGTGATATTAACATTTCGAATTGTAATATCAACAAATATACTGACAACAATCCAAAAATTGTTTGCACAACAATCCCATTTTTCTCCGTGTACGATGATATAGCAATTCTGAGTTCGAATTCGTGTGCAGCGTCAAAAAACCTTTAAGAATCACCATATGTGATCCAAGAAATAAAAATGCTATTGCACAGTGTTATTATTGTGACGTCCCGATATGTCAAAACCTCACACTTTTTTTTTTTTGAAATTTGTCCTAGGATGAGGGATGCAGAATGTCCTAATTATTCTTTTATGTAATTTTTACACATCTTTAGAATTCGACAATCTGGTTCCTGGGTTTTTCCGTTCACATTTTCAGGAAACACTCAAAATCCTTTTTTTAATAAAAAATACCATAAAGCTGTTTCAATAGAGAAAACGCCTAAACTAGAAAGAGTATTGATACACATAAGGATCTTAATCCCTAAATTTTAAGATCTCAATAAATAAAACATCTAAAATGAACAAGTGCAATAAAGGATCTTGCATTCTCAGAAATGACAATTCCTTAAAAGTGTGCGAGTTAAGCCTTGCAATAAAATTACAATTAGACAAAAGAGCAAGGGGCCCAACTCCGCACATAGCGTAAACATTTGTTGGCCAAATGTTTTATTTCACCTTCACCTCAGTGTGTACCTGGTCCACGTGGACCCTAAGGGTTTTTAATACTCAATTTAATACTTAATTTTCTCCTTTTTCCAAAATTTTCCCTCCACCTTTAACTTTTTGCAAGTTTTCTTGAGAGTAGGAATGAACGACGCGGTTACCCGGAGCGTCGTCCAACTTCTTTTAATCAGTCTCTTTTCGGTCCCTGTTCGCGAAATTCGCAATTGGTTCCCTTCCTGAACCAATAATTCCTTGAGGTTCGACCTTAGGATTTTCAAGGAGATTTTGACTGAAAACGCGCTCTCTTATTACTGTATACTTCCTATTTGTAGCATGTCCAAATCTCAGTGATTTCCTATAACCGTATAAATCCTCGGAATTAATATTTGGTTCAGGATAGGATCTAATCTCCGTTTCGTGAATATACCGTTTTACTTTAACTTTTATATTCATTGAAATTTTATCTTGTCAACTTGTATTCTTTTTAAACTTATTAATTTTATAATTTTACCCTTCTGGTTTATAGATTTTGTAGTTATCAATAAAATTCTTAATTGTTCTTATATGTGAATTTTGTGTATTAATGTGTTTCGTCGAGAAATCTCATTGTGTGCGTAAGTTTGGTAAATAAACAAACAATTTTAATTCAACCTAACCTATTTTCTCTCTCCTTCTATTTTATTATTTCTTCCTCTAATAACAATAATAAGGTGAGTTTCAACTCTTTGTAAGTAACAAGATCCCACAAATTCTATTTTTTAGCCGCTCGAAGAATAGAATACAATATATAATAAAGGATATAAATTTAATTGTCTACATTTTGAGGTTAAGTTCTTCATTTTTCTTTAATTATTTTTTATTTTTTATAATAAATTATTTATATGTTGCGAAATTAATTAGAAATTTTGGTGACGAACTTTTAGTTTTTCCTTTAACCTTTATTTCCATGCCGTGACGTAACATTATACAGTCATTTGAGGCTTGATAATATTCATCTTGATTCAACTTGATTTTTCTCTCCGTGTATATATAATGACACTGAAGTTACCAATGTTGAATCGACGAAAAGAATTTTTTTTTCCTAAGATTGAATATTTCTCCGCCTTAATTGAGGATTTTTAATGTTTACGAATGTATTCGGGACCAAAATAAAGAAATTTCAATATAAAAAATTGGTTCTTGACCTTTAAACAAATCTGAAAACGAAAAATTCGTTGGTTGATTACCAACGTTGGTAATTTCCGCGTTATTGTATATATTGGAATCAATGGTATACTTATCGCTGTAATTAAGATTTAAAGTACATGTATAGAAATATTCTTAGAATCTCTTTCTTATTATGAAACTTTCGTTACAAATTGTTTAGTACTAATGCACTTGAAATAAGCTCATAAAAAGTAATTAAGAAATAAAAACTCGAAATATACCTTTTTTGTATAATTAAAAGTTGAAGAAACATATATATATATATATATATGGATGTTAAAAATCAACAAACATATACGAAAAGACGAAATGTAGAGCAAATAACGAGGTGAAGCGAGGACGATTAACGATGAGAGGCAGAGAGAGAAAGAGGGGTCGGTGATTCGGGCCGAATTACGGTAATTACAATTAGGGAGTAATACGGTGCGCGACGCGTGTGTCTCCTCCCTCTTGAAAATCAGTCAGCCGCATAGAATCGCTTGGCCGTCCACCAATTACCCAACGACGAGGGAAAATTAAAGCTTTTATTTCGGCGTGCGAACGGTACGAACGGACGCTACACGAAATTAGCGAACCAGAACGATCTATATATCTTTTTTGCGCAGAGTCGACAAACCTTTTGCGAGAGAGAAGGAAATCGTTTCTGATACTTCAACCTGACAAAAGTAATTACAACGTTCCTAACCCTCAAATGATGAATTTACTGTGAATTCTCCACTAAATTATC